GCGAGTCTACTACTTTTGCAGGCAGGGCATTCCACGCCCTTACTACTCTCTGAGTAAAGAACCTACCTCTGACATCTGTCCTATATCTATCACCCCTCAATTTAAAGCTATGTCCCCTCATGCTAGCCATCACCATTCGAGGAAAAAGGCTCTCACTGTCCACCCTATCTAATCCTCTGATCATCTTGTATGTCTCTATCAAGTCACCTTTTAACCTTCTTCTCTCTAACGAAAACAGCCTCAAGTCCCTCAGCCTTTCCTCACAAGACCTTCCCTCCATACCAGGCAACATCCTGGTAAATCTCCTCTGCACCCTTTCCAATGCTTCCGTGTCCTTCCTTTAATGCGGTGACCAGAACTGTACACAATACTCCAAGGGCGGCCGCACCAGAGTTTTGCACTTAATGGGAATTAATGGGACCTTTTCAAATTGGCAGGCACTAACTAGTGGGGTGCCACTGGGATCGGTGCTGGGACCCCAGCTATTCACAATATATATTAATGATTTGGATGAGGAAATAAAATGTAACATCTCAAAGTTTGCAGATGATACCAAGTTGGGTGGGAGGGTGAACTGTGACGAGGATGCAGAGACCCTTCAGCATGATCTCGAAAGCTTGGGTGAGTGGGCAAATCAATGGCACATGCAGTATAATTTGGATAAATGTGAGGTTATTCACTTTGGAAGCAAAAACAAGAAGGCAGATTACAACCTGAATGGCTGTAAATTGGGAGAGGGGAGTGTGCAGTGGAACCTGGGTGTCCTTGTGCACCAGCTGCTGAAGGTAAGCATGCAGGTGCAGCAGGCGGTAAAGAAGGTAAATGGTATGTTGGCCTTCATTGTGAGAGGTTTCGAGTACAGGAGCAAGGATGTGTTGATGCAGTTATACAGGGCCTTGGTGAGACCACACCTGGAATATTGTGTGCAGTTTTGGTCTCCTTTTCGGAGGAAGGATGCTCTTGCTCTCGAGGGAGTGCAGCAAAGGTTTACCAGGCTGATTTTGGGGATGGTGGGTCTGACATATGAAGAGAGATTGACTAGGTTGGGATTGTTTTCGCTGGAGTTCAGTCAAATGAGGGGGGATCTCATAGAAACTTATGAAATTCTAACAGGACTGGACAGGGTGGATTCAGGGAGGATGCTCCCGATGGTGGGTGTGTCCAGAACCATGGGGTCACAGTCTGAGGATTCAGGGTAGATCATTAAGGACGGAGATGAGGAGACATTTCTTCACCCAAAGAGTGGTGAGCCTGTGGAATTCATTACCACAGGAAGTAGTTGATGCCAAAACATTGAATATATTCAAGACGCCACTAGATATAGCACTTGGGACAAATGGAATCAAAGGTTATGGGGAGAAAGCAGGATTAGGCTATTGAGTTGGATGATCAGCCATGGTCATGATGAATGGTGGAGCAGACTCAAAGGGCTGAATGGCCTCCTGCTGCTCCTATCTTCTATGTTTCTATGTAAAGACGTCTATGTTTTATATTTTCTGTTTCCCCTTTCTGACCCCCCTGTTATCCTGTGGAACACCCATCCTGCTGACCCCTTGTTTGCTTTTAGCTGAACCTGGTGTCGAATGTCACACTTTCCAAGACCTCTTCAGACACTTTCCCAGAAAGTTTACCTCACACGCCAACGTCAGCCGCTACACCAATCACCCCTGGGCGACAGGCCCCCTCGGTCATTAGCTCAGCGAGTTTACACAATATGGGAGCAATCCGGAGGAGGCATTCGGATAAATACTGCATGCCGTTATCTTCAGGTAAGAGGCTTTTAATTTCCTCTGATGAGTTTTAAAATGCAGAATGTGGCAGACTCAATGCAAACACTTGTCTTCCTGGATTTCAAGTGTGACCAAACTTCACGTGTCTTCTCCAGCATTTGTGTGTGTGTGTGTGTGTGTGTCTGTGTGTCTGTGTTTGTGACTTGTGTGCGTATATGTCTGTGTGTGCGTGTGTGTCTGTGTGTGCGTGTGTGTCTGTGTGTGCGTATGTGTCTGTGTGTGCGTATGTGTCTGTGTATGTGTCTATGTGTGTGTTTCTGCATTTGAGTATGCGTCTGTGTGAGTGTGTGTGTCTGTGTCTGCGTGTGTGTCTGTGTTTGAGTGTGTGTCTGTGTGTGTCTGTGTTTGAGTGTATGTCTGTGCTTGAGTGTGTGTCTGTGTGTGTTTCTCCATGTGAGTGTGTGACTGTGTGTGTCTGCGTCTGTATGTGTATATGTCTGTGTGCGAGCGTATGTCTGCGTGTTTGTGTGTGAGCGTATGCGTGTCAGTGTGTGTGTAGTTAATCCCTGCACAGTGAGCAATTCTTATTGAGAAGCCAAACTGAGCTCAGTGGCTCCATCTACTCTCACCCTCATGGGGAGAGAACCATTGGAATGGAAGTCATGTTTCAGCAGGAGAGGTTGAGAAATAGTACAAAATAATGACCATCATATTGAAAGGCAGCACTTTACTGAAACTGTGTCTGACAAGCATTTAGTTGTTTACTTAAAAAATATGGTTCATTGCTGCAGAGCATTGTTAGACTAACATCACAACATCAGGGTACAGTAGCATAGCAATATTACTGAGTGAGTTATCACAGGCCTACATCAGTGACTCACAGGCATGTGTTTAAATTCTTTCAGGAAAATCGTTGAGCTTATATTCAATCACTTCAATAAATCTGTAACAAAAAGTGGGTATTGGTAATGATGGATGTGAAGTGATTGGATTGTGGTTAAAACCCCATCTGGTTCACTAATGCCCTTTAGGGAGTAAAACCTGCCACCCTTACCTGGGCTGGCCTACATGTGACTCCAGACTGACAACGATGGAATTGACTCTGAGCTTCCTTCCAAAATGGCCCAGTGTGGCTTTTAGTTGTATTCGAGAAGCTAGCGCATCACCACTTCCTCAGCGGGCAATTAGGGATAGGAGCTGCCAGCCTTGCTAGCTTTGACTTGTCTTCATCCCATGAGCGAATTTGTTTTAACAAACAGAAGTGAAACAGGACTTTCTTCCATTACCCCCAGCCCCCATTCTCTTGCCTTTGCACTGAGGTGACCCGTGTCAGTGTTCTGAAAGGAGGGAATCATGTTGCTCCGGAATTAGCTCCGTTAGTCATGTAACAGATAATTGTTGCAAAGATGACATTTATCATGGGGACAATTTGTTTTCCCTGCTGTCAAAAACTAGACCCATGCAAAAACACATTGGGTTAAGGAGAGGTATGGAACACATCTGACAAGTAATAGCTATGTAACTACATTTGTTCCATGATTCAAGCAAAAGCTTAAAAATCACAAACTTGCCTTCAATGTTTGGGTGAGTGTTATTTGATGGAGTAATTCATCACATGTCACTCCCTTGTCTTCTGACAGGGTATGTAACTACACATTCTTTATTTCCAGGTAATTATCCAATTCCCTCTTGAACGCTTCAACTGAACCAGCCTGCACCACATTCTGCAGCAGCACATTCCAGGTCCTAATCACTCGTTATCCTTGTGTCCCCATTGGCTCTTCAACCAATCACCTTAAATCCTCTTGATCTTGTTCCTTCTACCAATGAGAATACTCTCTCCCTAACCCCTCAGAATTTTGAACACCTCGATCAAATTTCCTGTCAACCTTCTCTCCTTCCAGGAGAACAGCCTCAATTTCTTCAGTTGGCCTCGAACCTGAGCTTCCTCATCCCTGGGACCATTCACATGAAGCTTTCTCATTAAGCTGTTTTATACCTTCATATCTTTCCTGATGTATGGTGCTGGAACTGGTCTTCATACTCCACTCAAAAGTTTTATACAAGTTTGACTCCTTGTTCTTTCACTTCATGACCACGTTAATGAAAGCTTGAATATTGTATGCTTCACCAACAGAAATCACCCCCGTCCTACATGTATACACCCACGTCCCTTTGCTCCTGCACCACCTTCAGAATTGTATCCTTTGTTTTAGATTGTCTCTCCGTGTTCTTTCTATAAAAAATAATCACTTCACATTTCTCCGCATTAAATTTTAACTGCCACTGTCCACCCACCCCACCAACCTGTCTCCTTTTCATGTTCTACACTGTCCTTTCCACAGTTCATAATTATGCTTCAAAGACTTGTATTTTTAGAAAATGTTGAAGTCATGCCCTGTATCCTAAGGACTGGGTCAATAACAGAAGTCAGGAAGAGTAGAAATCCAAATACGACCCCCTCACCCTTACCTCCACCCAGGGAGCTCCACACTCCAACCTTCTTCCACAACCACATGCATTGACCATAAGTCTCTGTTTCCTATCACTCAGCTAATCCATGTTATTACTGTCCCTTTTATTCTGTGAGCTATAACTTCTCTCATAAGACTGTTGTGTGGAACTATGTCAAATGCCTTCTAGAAATCAATGTAAACCATTTCAACATTGCTACCCTCATCAACCCTTTCTCTTTCAAGTTCAAAAAAAATCCAAATTAGTTAAAAATAATTTTCCCTTAACAAACCCAAGCTGGATTCTGCTAATTGCCGCACGTTTACCTAAATGACTATTAATTTTATTCTGAATTATTGTGTTTAGACATTTCCCCACCTGCTGAGGCTAAGCTGACTAGCTTGCCATTGCTGGACCTTTTTGAACAAGAGTGTGACATTTGAAAATCTCCAGTCCTTTGTAACATCCTCTGGATCTAAGGAAAACTGGAAATTATTGCCTGTACCTCTGCAATTTCCAATGTCCCTTCACTCAGTATCACTGGATGCTTCTCATGTGACCCTGATACCTTATCTATATTTCAAGTACAGAGGGCCTCCCCAGTACCAGCTCTTTATAAGTTTCAAATCTTTTCAACCCATGCAGCATCTACTTCCTTGGTAAAGACAGGTCAAAAGTATTTATTTAACACCTAAGCCAGGGCCCTTGCCTCCATCTTAAGTAGTTTTAATGGAACCTAATTGCCATACTCCTTCATTTATTACTATTTTACTGTTTCGATGCCTATTGATTGCTTTGGGATTCCTTGCTGGCTTAGCTACCGGTCTCTTCTCATGCTCTCTTTTTGCATCTCTTCCTTTTTAAATCCCTGTTTTATCTTCTATATTAAGCCTAGTTCTCAGTTATATTATCCATCTGACATCGAGCCTAAGTGCATTTTTTCATCTTCATCTTAATCAATCTTTACTTCTGTCATTCAAAAAACTCTAGATTTGTTTGCCCTTCCTTTCTCATTTGGGGAAATATATCTTGACTGTGTCAGAACAACTTTTCTTTGAGGGCAGCACATTGTTCAGTTTGTGTTTTGTCTTTGATTCCAATTTATTGGGTGCACGTTGATTTTAACCCCATTGACATTGGCTTTCCCCCAGTTAAATATTCTTATTCTGGATTGTTCCTTATACTTTTCTAATAGATATTACGATTATAGATTATAATAGATATAATATAATAGACATAATGATCACTGCTACCTAAATATTCTCCCACTGAAACTTGATCCACTTGACTCACCTCATTCACAAGAACCAGATCTAACACAGCCTCGTTTCTCACATACTGCTGTGGAAAACCGACTTCAGCACACTCCCAAAACACTTGTCCCTTTCTGCCTTTACACACTGACTATACCAGTCTTGAGCCATTCTGCATTAACACATTTGGGTGTTTTCTATTCTTTTGCAGAACTTGCTCAGAACCATGAATTTTATAAGAATGCAGATGTTCGACCTCCTTTTACGTATGCATCCCTCATCCGGCAGGTGAGTCAACAAAGTCAGGTTTTAATTTGAGAGATGGTTTGAAGTCTTGGTTACGCTCAGCTCCTAAAGGCCTATCCTGTTGGAGCTTGTGAATCTCACAGGGTGAGAACCATTATTTAATAATCATCAATGAACAAATATCCTTAAAGGTACAAATCGTACAAAAGCCCTGCAAACAGGCAGCAGGAATACATCTGCTCCACCTGTTGATGGATCCGAACTGGTCTGATTACCCCACAATCCAACCTACTCCTAGTAACCTTCCACCTCCACAAACTGCTCAGCAAGAAACTATCTACCTCTGCCTTAAACTTGGCTTCCACCAGCTTTTCAGGAAGACAGTTCCAAAGATTTGTAACCTTTCCATGTGAAACAAAAATCTCCTCAATTCTGTCTTAAATGGACCACCTTTGATTTTTAAACAGTGACCATTGTTCTAGATTCTCGCACAAGAGGAAACACCCTCTCCCATCCACCTGGTCAAGACCCCTCTGGAACTTCTATCTTTCAATCAATTCACTTCTTACTCTGCTCAGTTCCAGTGGATACAAGCCCAGCGTATCCTTTGTCATGAGGACAACTCTCCTATTCCAGAGATTAGTCTGGTACCCTTCTCTGAACCTTCCATTATGAATTCCAAGGCATTCATAACCTTCCTTAAATAAGATCAATCTTGCACACAGTATTCCAATGTCATTTATTTAAATTTCTAAACGTGCAACAAATTAATTTTGTGTTTACCTTTTTTAAAAAAGGTGAGAATTAACTATATGTACAATTCCACAGAATTTGCAGTGAGTATTAAAACAGGTATTGCAACTACAATGTTGATTTAAAGAAACATGGGTTCCCGAAGTAGCCATTGGCTAGATTTGATGGACACTGGCCAGGGTTGGGGGAGCAAGTAATGGAGGTGATCTCAGATATCAAAGCTTTTTGAGGGACAGTTCAGGAAGTTATTTCTTCTGAATCTTTGAGTTAACAATTAGACAGCATGTTGTTGCAGAAAACTTGTTCCGTTTGACAAAGTGTTATATGAATGAGAAGAGAGATTCAAAGAACTTCTTATCCAAAATTTCAACTGCAGTTAGACATCCTTGGACATCTTTCAAAGAGATAAAGTAGAGAAAGTTGCAGGGAAATGGAACTGGAATAGAAAGCTCTAGATGCAAAGTAGGTCAGGGGGAGGTGATGGCCTAGTGGTATTATCGCTGGGCTATTAATCCAGAGACCCAGACAATGTTCTGGGGACCTGGATTCAAATCCCACCACAGCAGATGGTGGAATTTGAATTCAATAAATATCTGGAATTAAGAGTCTAATGATGACCATGAATCCATTGTCAATTGTTGTAAAAACCCATCTGGTTCACTAAAGGCTTTTAGGGAAGGAAACTGCTATCCTTACCTGGTCTGGCCTACATGTGACTCCAGACCCACAGCAATGTGGTTGACTCTGGGCAATTAGGGATGGGCAATAAATGCTGCCTTGTGAATGAATAAAGGAAGAAAAAGAGTTTGCATTAGCATGAGTTAGAAGAGTCAAATAGCCGACTTCTGTTCTTTGATTGTTTTGATGGGATATCCATTCAACGTGTCTCCCCTCACAGAGGGTGAGCACACTGGAAATGAAGCTTCACTATTCCTGGAGTCATCACAAAAGTTAAAGACTTTTTAAAAAGATTATTAGGACTAATAGCTATTACAAGGAAATGGATTCTAGCTATGGATAAATAGTTATGAGCTGTTGGCATATAACACGACAAATTAAACCTGTAATCCTGTTATAGACACCCCTTTACAACACAGACATAGGGAAAGTTAGCATATGCATCACAGATAGAAGAAACACTTGGAAAACAGTTCAGTGGTTGTTGTTCACAGGATTTGTGGAGACAGTCCTTGTGATGATCAGAAAACTACTTCTCAGTCTTCCTTTTCCAGGTGCCTTCATTAGTTTGCAAGAGGCAGAGAGTCGCTGGTTCAATGATAAAAGGTCTCTGACTTATTGATTAAAAGTCACTGCTTACAGTGAATGGTGAACAAAAGATAAACTGGTTTTCTTCAGGTTTAAAGTGGCTTTTACTGCAGAGAACAGCCAGCTCCAGAGCTTATGGACATCGGAGGGTTTCTCTCTATCTTATTCAGTTACCTGAGAGCCAATCACACAATGGTTGGCTGGCAGCAGGTCTCTGTTATTGGTAACTGGTCACTAATCCACAGACCAATCCACTACTTGTTGCCAAACAAATCTGCCAAACTATCCAAGGTACCAAACAAACCTTTCACATCAAACAGGGGTTCACCTGCACATCTGTAAACTTGTTGATGCTCCCGATCTGGCCTCCTCTACATCAGTGAGACCAAACAGAGCTCGGAGATCGCTTTGTAGAGCATCTATGCTCTATTCACGACAAACGACAACACCTTCTGATTGCAAACCATTTCAACTCCCCCTCCCACTCCCTGGGTGACATGTCCATCCTGGGCCTCCTCCAGCGGTTGCAGGGAAAGGTGCCATGGGTGGTGGGGCTAATGGGGAGTGTGGAGCGGATGAGGAAGTCGCGGAGTGAGTGGCCCCTATGAAAGGCAGATAGGGGTGGGGAGGGAAACATCTCTTTGGTTGTGGGGTCAGATTGTAGGTGGCAGAAGTGGTGGAGAATGACACATTGGATGCAGAGGTTGGTGAGGTGATATGTGTGGTGAACAATGACCAATGCAGACTGGATAGGCTGAATGGCCTCATTCTGTTCCTAATGTCATGGTCTTATAGTCACATGAACAAGGAGTCACTGCCTGGGCGAGGCTGAGCCTTATGTCTGAATAATTGTCACAACATAGTTCTGGAGACTTCTGAAAGATGAGAACTGGAAATCTTTCTACACTGGAAATCTAAACTAATGAACATTTATACATAGCCCTTTGGCTCCAGTTTGTCTGCAACCACTGCTATAGCCCATAGTCACACAAACAGTGTTCACAATAACTATCAAATTACTGGCTTTCAAACCATGCAGCAATCCTTGTAATCCCTGGTATATAAAACAGTTCTTTTCTCATTTCAATCCACACTTGAGAAAACACAACAAGCTGGACACACTGTCTTTGCACATTCCTTGCCACCATATCACTGCAATCCCATCTCTCCAGAAACATTTGAATTAATTTTTACTGTTTGTCACAATATATTTGAAATTCAGTCACCTTTTGCAATTTTATGTGTGTGTGTGTGAAGCTGTCCTTTCCTAATCTGTCTCGAGTCACCCTGCCTACCCCATTATCACCATCCTATCCTGATCCACTGGGTCATGTCAGTCTTTTCTTTCCTGCAGGCAATTTTGGAAGCGCCCGACAGACAGTTAACACTCAATGAAATTTATAACTGGTTCACAAGAATGTTTGCGTACTTCCGCAGAAACACAGCTACATGGAAGGTGAGTGTTATCTAAAATGCTATTCTCTCTGTATATGTTTTAACCATAAATAGCATCATAGAAAGTATATCAGACAGCTAGTAAAAGGAACATGAATTTATTTGGTAATTTTCACAACTTGTGGACATCCCAAAGCATTTCTGATGTGCCGCCACTGTTCTACCATGACAAAAATGGTAGCCAGTTCATGTCCCGTAAGCTTGTACATCCAGCAAGGTGATATCAACCAGAAAATCTGTTTTAGTGTACTGGTTGAAGGCTAGTCATTGGTTGTAACATTGGAAAAATTTGCTGGCTGTTTCTTGATATGGTACCATGGGCTCTTTCAGATCCACTGGAGAGATCACATCCATAAGAATAAAGCATTCCTTCCGTCATTGCAACTGGGAGCGACCCGAGCTCCTGCTAAACAGCTGTCACCTGCTGAAAAGCAACAATGGAGAGTTTTTTCTATCAATATGGCAGCACATGACAACAGAGGGTCAGAGTGAGAAAGATTAACCTGCAGAAGGATGTACGTAGAAGGAATGTTGCAGTCATTCTCACACACGTTAATCAGATGTAATTCGTCATCCATATGTAACATGTAATATGAGATTACAAAGTGTGGAGCTGGAGGCCAGGCAGCATCAAAGCAGCAAGAAAGCTGACGTTTCGGGTCGGGACCCTTCTTCAGAAATGAGGAGGGGGAAGGGAGCTCAGAAATAAATAAAGAGAGGAGGGTCGGGCTGGGGAAGGTGGGTGGGATGGTGATAGGTGAGTGCAAGTAGGGAGTGGTGGGGATTGGTCAGTGAGGTGGGAGGGGCCAATAGGTGGGAGAGAAGATGGACAGGTTGTGTCAGGTCAAGGAGGCGGAGATGAGAGGGAGGGTTGGACATGGGATGAGGAAGGAAGTAGGGAGATTTTGAAACTGGTAAAATCAGCATTTAGGACATTGAGCTGTAGGCTCCCAAGGCGGAATATGAGGTGCTGCTCCTCCAGTTTCCGGGTGGCATTGTTGTGACACTGGAGGAGGCCCAGGACGGACATGTCGTCCAAGGAGTGGGAGGGGGAGTTGAAATGGTTTGCAATCGGAAGGTGTTGTCGTTTGTCGTGAACAGAGCGTAGATGCTCTACAAAGTGATCTCCGAGCTCCGTTTGGTCTGACCGATGTAGAGGAGACCAGATCGGGAGCATCAACAAGTTTATGGATGTGCAGGTGAACCCCTGGCTGATGTGGAAGGTTTGTTTGGTGTCTTGGATATAGGTGAGGGGAGAGGTGTAGGGGCAGGTGTAGCACCTCCTGCGGTTGCAGGGAAAGGTGCCGGGGGTGGTGGGGTTAGTGGGGAGTGTGGAGCGGATGAGGGAGTCGCGGAGAGAGTGGTCCCTATGAAAAGAGATAGGGGTGGGGAGGGAAACATTTCTTTGGTTGTGGGGTCAGATTGTAGGTGACAGAAGTGGTGGAGAATGACACATTGGATGCGGAGGTTGGTGAGGTGATATGTGTGGTGACCAATGACCAATGCAATTCTTTTGGCTTTTATTGAGATAAAGTATAGTTTGTCAGCACCCAGTAATTTTTGCTTTACAAAGCCAGTTTTAGATTTGAGAAACATATCAGCCATGATTAAATGGTGGAGCAGACTGGATAGGCTGAATGGCCTCATTCTGTTCCTTAATGTCAGGGTCTTATAGTCACATGAACAAGGAGTCACTGCCTGGGCGAGGCTGAGCCTTATGTCTGAATAATTGTCACAACATATTTCTGGAGACTTCTGAAAGATGAGAACTGGAAATCTTTCTACACTGGAAATCTAAACTAATGAACATTTATTTACTATTTACGTTGTTTTTATAGACATAGCTCAGGAGTTTTTATAGACATAGTTCAGGACCCTTCTTGCTGCAGGGTCCTAGTTCCATGTGATCTGACATCACTGATGAGGAACTCGAGCTATTAGCAAATCAGCTATTAATCCCTTAAACAACATTTCCCCTCGAGTCTTTCATTCTACCCCTCACCTATTCCCCCCTTCCCTTACACCACCCCCAAGTCTCTTTCACCAAAGGTGTCAGCTTCCAACAATGTTCTCAGCATGTTTTGAGGGAGTGAGGTATGAAAGTGTTCCATTACTTTCCCTTTGGATCCTTGCTAAACTGTTTGCAAACTGTTGCCACCATGTATGAATATCACACCGGCTTCTGTGCAATACTAGCTCAAATGTTTTTTCTCATGGGTGTAACTCCAAGCTCCGTGTACAGCATCAACTTTCAAATCTGAAGTGCCTGTGTTTGGCACCTTGACCACCATGCATTGAACCTTGGAGTGGCTGCACACTCAGAGGGAGCATTGGCTCTGGGCGTATTTGACAGATGAGAACTGGAAATGTGAGGAGTGCAAACAAATGAACCTTTACTAACTATTGACGGTGTTTTATGAGGTCTGGTTCAATTTCGTTCAAACCTCCTTTACTCAGGTCCCAGTTCCACTGGTCTAACATCGTCTGACATCAGTGAAAATGCGTTCTGGCTATTGCCATAACAGCTATTAAACTGTTATACTGCAATGATGGGCAGTAGATTGGAGGGTAACATTTTCAAAAGTGTAGTTGTGCTTTAATTTAAACACAAGAGACATAATATAATGCATGATCTGTAAATTCAGTAATTAAACCACAGTAGGGGGCAGCGGTGCATACACCATATTTCTAGCTGCGTATGGTCTGAACAATTACTGTATAATGTGGACCAATGACTAACAGGGACACATTAATTTATGATTATCCCTATGGATTAAATGTCCTTGGGAGATTTGGTTGTTTCAATCAGAACTAGGTGGGTGTCAGTCACTCTGCCACATTAACAAGTGTTTTAATGTGATTATTAGCAAGCCATCGAGAGGCCTATTTATCTTGGTTGTGCACTGGGATTTTTTTTTTTGTCTGTCTTTAACACAGAAGGCTGTGGCATTTGAAACAAGCTGAGCAATTTCAGATATAGAATGCAAGAGGTTTATCATTGAAACAGCTAAATAGAGTGTCACTGGAACATCATTAAAAATTCACACTTATAACAGAGCCACAATCAAACTGACCCAGTTCCACTGAAATTTCACTGAGATGTGGAGAGGAAATATACCTTCTAGAAGGTACTGCATAGGCGAGGGGAGAGAGAATTGGTGCTCACTAATGATATCTGAAAGCAGTTACTGTTTGAGAAAAATCCCCAAACCATTCCAAGATTATGTGTTATAGTTTTAAGGTAAGGGGCAGGAGATTCAGAGGGAATTTGTGAACAAAACGTTTTCACTCAGCGGGTGGTGGGAATCTGGAATGCACTGCCTGGGAAGGTAGTGGAGACTTTTATTTAGCACATCTCCTGGCCACCAAACAACTCAAAATGCTGCAACCAAGAAGTACTTTTTGAAGGATAATCACTGCTGTCATGTGGGAAGTCTTTTAGTCAGGTCAACTGCTGTTTCTCTCACCAATTATTTACTTCAGAGTGAACATTTGTCACAGGATTGATATTTATCCAATCTGCATTCCAGGCAATTTACACATAACAATTGTGGTCTCAGTGGATACAACCACAGTGGAATGGAGTCAGACTCTCAGTGCTAAATCTGCCACTGACTCTCCATGGGATACAGTTCCTGAAGGAGCTGACTCTCCATGGGATACAGTTCCTGAAGGAGCTGACTCTCACTGGGATACGGTTCCTGAAGGAGCTGACTCTCACTGGGACACAGTTCCTGAAGGTGCTGACTCTCCATGGGATACAGTTCCTGAAGGTGCTGACTCTCACTGGGATGCGGTTCCTGAAAGAGCTGACTCTCACTG